AGAGAGCATGCGCGCGGGAGAGACGCAGATGCGGAGCGGGCGCGAGCGGTCGCCCTTCCAGCTGCGTATTCTGTTGAATCAAAGGGTACTTTCACGGGATCTTCTGCACTAAATCCACAATATGAACCCAATCAAAAGCCGCAAAATACAGAACCGATACTGAACACAGAAACCAAAAATAAAACGAAATTTGAAAACAAACCTCCTCCAAAGCCTCCCAGATGTCAAATTCCCCTTCAGAGAGGCGTAAGAGCAGTGCGTGGATATCTTCATACAGTGCCTTGTCAACTATAATGTGATATCTTCAATTAGCTTACCAAATCATCGTGAAAACGCTAAACTGTTAACAGTACACGTTAAATATGGCAACTTTCTTAGAGTGAACCAGAAAGGAAATATCTGGAGAAGTGAACTCACGGCTATCAAACGTATCTTCATCATAGTCGGGACCCTGTCGTGGAACGATATTCACTTGATAACGTTGTTGCGGTTGCGCTAGCTGCTTATCCACCCGCATTCTAGAATATACTGAATGTTGAAAGAGAAAAAGCAAGCGATGCAGAACAAACGTAGTACCTATAATTCATTCTCTGACCAAGAGACACGAGCACGCTTTGCTATCTGATTAACAACTAGTGTGTTTTGACGCATTTTGGAAAACTACTATTGGAATTATTCGTGAAAGAACATGTTCGAACGTCAAAAAAAGCGACTTGAATATGTTATTCCATAATTTCCTAATGGTAATCATTCAAAACGCGATAAAACGCAACTTTAAACTAGTTATTCAGAGATACAAAGCGTGCTCGTGCCTCTTGATCAGAGAATGATGATTTTATAGAAACCAATGCAATTGGATGACTAACCCAAAAGCGGGACACATGAAGAGAAACGATATAACTTATGCATTTGAAAAACACATTGGAAGGAACACATTGCTTTAAAAGCGCACACAATTACGATCGAATTCAAATTGTTCTGTAATTGCGGACCGACATTACTTCTGGCGCCAACTATCGTCATATTCAAATGCTGCTGATAAATCCTTTTCCATAGAAGTATCAATTGCAAACGGTTGTATTGCCATCCAGTTGTATAATGGTGATCTATTTTGATCATTTCTGTAACTAATGTGTTGTTATTGGTTTAGAAGTTGTTCGCTGTAATTTTCATGTTCTGTAGTAACTAATGTGTGAGTGTTATTCTGATGACTGCCTGCGATACTAAAATAAGCGTTAAGTAAAGGATAGTCCTGTAAAGCACGCCCGCCGTCGGCTGGGCAAGAAGCCATTGCATTTTGATTTGCCTACGAGTTCATCTCGCGAATGATATCTGCCGCAATCTGGAGCCGATATCTACTGCCGACAGAGCAATGAATCAAATTCGTAATGTCACCGTTTCGGATGGTTCTCTTACGCCTTTAGGTCGTTTTCAACTTTGCAAGAGGAAGTCTTCTTGAGTGCCGCACTCACGCTTAGGCCGTCCACCTTTTTAGGATCAATGGGGGCAGTTAAACAGAGTGCTCAGTCTATACCATCGTCACAACCAAGGCCGCGCCGGAACCGGCAAAACGACAGTGGGAGCGTCGTCGTTAGCTCCCTGGCGATCGCCAGAGTCAGAAAATGATTCTTAGCTCTTCAATCAACAAAT